CGAAGGGTCAGTCAGCCTCAGAACAGCAGCGGGCGACGCGCGTCGCCCTTGGGGAAACGCGGGGGAAGCCACTTGTAAACCGGGGGTTCTGCGAACCAGCGCGGAATCAGTCAGCCCCAACCGAAATTTGGGCGAGACGTGTTACCCCCGAAACCGTTCGAGCGAGGCCAACTGTAAATGTGACTTCTGGGAACCAACAAAAAAGCCATCCAAGCAGGAAAACAAGCAGCGGCTGCGTCGGGGCGCGCGCGGACGCGCGCGGGCCCTCCTCAGCGCACGGGCGAAGGAATGGCTGCGGACGCACACTCTCCGTCTCTATGCTACTCTGCCGACCCTGCCCACGCGCCGCCTGCTACGCCGAGCCAGATGACCGCGCAGAAGACGGGGTCAAGAGCTCCAGCAACTACAGTCAGCAGTCGCCCTGGATATGCAGGATGTCCAATCGCCCCTCCGCCATGTAGGCGTTTGTAGCCTCGCATGGTCTTCGCTCGTGCTTGCCTGGGCCCCGCTAGGCCGCGACCAAGCGCCGGTGGCTCTCCGAGGCCGCGCCTGGAGAAGGGCGGCGCAGCCCACTGCAAATGTTGGTCGGGCCAGCTGCCCGAGCAGCCCCCGTGTCAAGAGATGCGCAAAATTCGCCCCTCCCTGTCGTCGCCGCGCGGGCGCTGATCAGACTCCAGCCGCGCAGGGACTTGCCCAACCCGTTCAGTCCAGAAGCGGGCGCCTGGGCAGGCTAGGGTTTGCCAGCGCTGTTGTTCCTGCCGGGTGAAAGCGGGCCTCCCCGGCGCGGCCCACGAACCGCTGCCGGCGCTCGCCCCTTCTGTTGCCCCTCTGCGGCCCCCTCGGCCACGGGAGGGCCCCCCTGCCCGCGTGGCCCACTGGGCCGCGGCGGAGCCATGCCCGCCAGCGCGCGCGGCGGCACGGCGCGAGTGGCTGATGCGACTTCAACCGGCCTGCTTGCGCCCCCCGCGCAGTCCACTGGCGGCGCGCAGGACCGCTCCGCGCTCCGGCCCGGGCCCTGGGCGGACCTCGCGGCCGCGCCCGCGGGTCTTTCGCCGGCAAATGGCGCGCCGCGCCGCTGCCGCGCCCGTTGCAAATGCTCTGGGCCGTCGACGACTTGCTCGAGACCGCCAGCTTGTGCGGCAAACGCATCATCGCATCAGTGATCAGCGTCGTCTGGACACCCATAGTCGCGCCCTTGCCAGTGGCGCGATTAGCGCTCCGCTCCCCCAGAGCTCAGCGCAAACAGCGACTGTTTAGACACTCGCGTCTATCGAGCGCTGCCCAGCGCGTTCAACTACGCAGGACATGCTTTTCCCAATCTGTCGGCGGCCCAATCAGAATTCCAAAAATCGCCAGATGCGTCGGCATCTTCTGGCGCGCGAGAATCCAGATCTCCCCGGGATGGTCCAGGAGGTAAAACTAGCGCACCTGGTCAGACGAGCGCGTGCATCTTGGTAGGTGTCGCCATCCCCTCCATGGCCGCGCTGGCGGTGGACGCGACACTCGGGACAATCTCCGCTTGGCACTGCAAAGTGCCGGCTGCTGTCCTACAGATCTGCGAAGGCCCCGCGTCGAGCAATTCGGCGATGTCTCGATCGCAATCCCCAGTTTCCTTCGACGAAGGCGTTGTCATGTCCCGGGGCGATCCAGGCTGCAGGCCCTGCAACTCCATCAGACTGGCGACGCGCTCCAAGTTGCCCTCGCATTCGAAACCTGTCGGGGTCCACTGGGTCGTTCGTTCGAAGTGCTTCAGCTCCATGGAATGCCCTCCGTGCTCTAGCGGTCCGATGCGAGGGGCATCTTGCCTTCAAAATGGCGCTGCGTAGTCATGTCCAACACATCCAACGACTGCTCCTCTGCCTCCACGCCTGGATATCGCCCCCGCGACGCCCGGAACCGATGTCCAATGCGTGACGCACGCGATGCACGAACGCCATCGGCGCGACCACGATCATGACGCACCCCCCGAACGAGAGCTTCCATCACGAACTGCTTGCTCGCCTTCCCGGCACCGTGGGCGGCCTTGCGCAAAAACCGCCCGAAACCGTCCTTCCGCACGTCCGCCGGCGGAATGACAGCTGTCTTTCCCGTCGTGTCCGAGTGAAAGGATGCTGCCGGAACGTCGCAACCTGCCGCGGGCCTTGCCCACGCGCGGTCTGGGCGCTGCTCGGACGCAGCGAGGCTTGCGGTGATCCTAGACGCCCTCGCTGGCGGTGCGAATTGAATCGCGCCCTCCCGAACATGCGCGTTGACCTCTGTTGCAACCAGGCGCGCCCGAACTGCCGACGGGCCCGCGTTCGAAGGATTGGGTTCCGTTGTCGTCGGCCAACTTGAGCCCTAGCTGCTGGGCTTCTGATCCGGGGTATCTTCCTTAACTTCGCAAGCGTCGATATCGAAAACTCTCGGCCTTGCCTTCGCGCGCCTTCCATGTCCAGCTTCGCGCCGGCCTTGCTCCTGCACATGCATGCTGATAGGAACCACTTCTGGGCACCCGCCCCTCCATGGCCGATGGCCGACTGCTGCGCCTATTGCTGCCGCCGCCAAGGCGGGCTCGCGCAGCGTTGGCAGTCCAGCGATCGCCCTTGACCGCTTCTCCCTGGGTGCGTCGCCTGGTTCCTCCACCTCGTGGCCTGGAACTTCTGCCGGCGGTCGTCGGTGCTCCTCCCGGCGCGTCTGCGCGTCGGGCGCGCCTGCAGACGCACTCGCGGCACGGCGCGGCCCCTGAGCCACTTGCCCGACGCCGCCGGGCCAGACAAGCCCCCGCGCTGGCAGCGGCGCAGGCGGCAAGGTGCTGCTATTGGGGCCGCATCTGGCGGCGCGCGGGCAGCAGCTCCCTGGCGGCGCTCCTTGGCCCTCTCCGGGGCCTTCTGTTGCGCCTCGCATGCGCGGCGACGCATCGCCGTGCGAAGCGTTCCGCGCAAGCCGTCGCGCGTCTCGCGTCGCCTGGCGCCTTGCATCTGGGGCAGTCAAACGTTTTGCCTGGCCGCATGACGCCGTCCAGGGCGACGCGCGCGTCTCGCGGTTTCGACGGCCCTCCCGGCGACCCCAGGGCATCCAGCGGCGCCGGCCCCCATGGCGACCCAACGAAGGAGTCCAACAGCTGCTTGTTCCAGCGCTGCTGCCCTGGCCTCCGCCAGATGCCCCCGCGCGTGAGCGCGCCCTTGGACGCGCCAACAAGGTGTTCGTCTGCCCTCGTGCCCTTGCCTAGCCAGACCCTGAGATCCCACCTGTCGCCGGGCCCCCCCCACCGTGGATAGCGGCGACTCGTGGCGCGCGCACTCGCCAAACTCCACTATCACGCCATTGTAACCCTTTGCGGCCAAGCAGCTCTACGGATTTGCACCGTCCGCCTCCGCGAGACAACGGACTATCAACCGCCCGGTGTGGCGAACGACACACGGCTGGATTTTGCGCCCGAGAGGGAACTGTTGTTTGCGCCCCGACTCTAGAGCCTGCGCTTCAGAGCCCCGCGCTGCTTCCCCACCTCGTAATTGCCGCGCTCGGTTTAGCCGTTGCTCTGCGACGATTATTTCGGCGCGTTTCCCTTCGACGCGCCGCGCATGCTGCCCCTGGTCTCGACAAACACATCAACAAGACGATTCATTGATTTTGCACCACCAAACAGCATGAACATGTTCGCGCGCCCGCAGAGGCGCGCTGCTTCGCGCATCAGCGCCAGAGCGCAGTCGCCCTCGCCATTTTTTACCAAGCCTGAGAACGGCCCCCCGGACTTGGCGTCAAAGACGCTCAGCACTGCGCGCATCTTGTTCGTCTCTTTGAACGTGAGGAAGAAATAATGAACGCAGATCTCGGGCACTGCCCCCTCAGTCTCGGGCCCCCGCTGCGAGCGGGAGCCCTTCGCGGCCCCCCCTGGCGCGCAATGGTTGCGCCGCGACCGGACATGGCAGGCGTGCGATCTGATGTGAGTTCCACTCGGCCTGCGCGATAGCAAATGGGATTTTCTTTGCTCGGGGCCTCGTTGATTCCTCTAAATCCACTGGCGGCCGGCTGTCCGGTCGCGCAGACGCGGGCGCTGGCCCGCGGGCTGCCGGCAGGGGCGGGCCCCGATCCGCGCCCCCGCTCGAGCCTCCATCTCGCACGGCGGGGCACCCCCCTGCTGCCCGCGGCCCCTGGGCCTCTGGCGGGATCTCCGCCGGCGGTGTTGCAACGCCTTCTTTGCTGGTTTGGCGGGGCGCAGAGGTTGCGCATCTCCTGCTGGCCGCCTGCCCCAGAGCTCCGGCCAGCGCGAGCCCCTGTCTCCGGCCAGTTCCAGGCCGGGCGTCGCCAGCGCCACTTGCCGCGAGGCCCGCGCATCTCGCGATGAGATGGCGCCTTGGGCCCCCGCGCCGGAAACAGACCAGTTCCCTGCGTCGCAAGCGTCCGACGCAGACGTCGCAGGCACTGGCGCCCGTTCACTTGAGCTACGCCTCAACGCGACCCAGGCGCCGTCAGCGGCCCGGAGGCGGGGCCGGTGGCCGTCTCGCAAACCGACCCCCCCCCCCCCGCGGCTGTCGCCAGCGCCGCAGGCTTGAAAGACGCGCCTGCCGCGGCGGCAGCGTCGAGAGACGAGGGGCGCGCGGGTGCTCCAGCTCCTGCGCCCACCAGCCATCGCCCCTTTTCGGCCCCTGGAGCGTCGCCCGGCGGTCTGTCTCCACCGCGGAAGCATCGGCCGCTGGGGGCCGCGACCGACCTCGTCGCGGTCTTGCAGCAAGACGGCGCGCGGATCGGCCGGGAGTTCAAGTGCTGCTCTGTCCTAGCCATGTCCAAGAGCTCTTCCTTCAGGACCTTCCGCGTCTACAGCCTAGCAGAGTTCTTCGCTAAGTGTTGCTTGATACTCGTGACGACCACATTGACAATCGCGAAGCCGAGCTTGAGGCCCCCGTCGAACTGCCTTCCCGAATGTCCTTCGCACTCGTGGACCCGATGCTCGAGCTGGCCAGGAGAACTGCGGGATGTCCCTAGGAGTGCTTTGCAGTTCAGATTTCGACTGGGGCCCCCACCTTGGGCGCCCCGACCTCTGGCTCCCAATCTGGCGCCCCGACCTCTGGCTCCCAATCCAGAACGGCTTGCCGCCGCGCTTCCAGACCCTTCCCGGCGCCGACCGTGGACATTTCATCCTGCGCAGCATCGCGGAAGAGGATCGCCGCAACGTAGTGCAGTTGCGCCGGCGCGCTGGCCTCCCATGGCTCAAGGGGCGCGATCGTCGCGACGCTCGCAATAGCCTCTGCCCGCGACAGAAGCGCTGGGTAGCCTGAGTCTAGTGCTGCTAAGTGCGCCCTGAAGACGACCGCCCACTCTGGCCACTTCGCCCTTCATCCTAGATGCGCGGCCGGTTCACTTATCAAACGCGTGTCGGCGCGCGGCTGGAACCCGTTCCCTGACTTGGCCCTGCAACTCTTCCACAGCAGGCATGGCTGTTACCTACAACGCGAACGGTCGCAGGCGGCTTCCCGAACCGCTCTGCGCTCTTCCTGAATCTCGCCCAGAAGCTCGAGGATTTGTCCCGCGTCAGCGCGGCGCCTGTCCCACCTGGGAAAAAAAGCTCAACTGCGCTCCAAGATGCTGCCGACGTCACGGAGTACGCTGGCTGCCGCCTCGCGTGTCTGCAGTGAGAGTGTCGTCGAACTCGCGCAAGCCGTGCCAACGTCGAACTGCGGGCCTGCTCCACGAGGCAACACTGGCGACAATTTCTTCGCACTGCTCGCTGCTGGTTTCCAACAGCTCGCCCGGCAGCGGATCTGGCTCGTCCTAATTGTCTAACCGCGCTATCTGGCACCTAGCCCACCAGCATCTGGCACCCATTAAGGTTCATAACTGATAATAAAGTCCTCGCGTGTCGTCCTCGCCAGAGGTGGTACCGCCCTCCTAGGCCCTCCTCCAGGCCCTCCTCCACCTCGCCCATGGGCCCTCCTAGGCCCTCCTCGCCCTAGAGTCGCCCTCGCCCTCCTAGGCCCTCCTCCTCCTCCACCTCGCCCATGGGTGCCCACACTCGCTCTCCTCTCCCTCGCGCAGTCCCATCGCCCCCCTCGCCATCGTCGTCTTCGTCGTCATCATCATCATCACCGCCACCATCATCCCGACACCCCCTTCTTCTCCCTCCTTCCCATATCTTCCGCTCTTCTTTTTTCTTCTCGACATCTAACCAGGTCTGTCATGGGCTCTGTCTGGGCTGCTGCACTGCGTCCTCATCTAGCCCCGCCTCCTCATCATATCCTAGCCCCGCGCTGCTGCTGGCGACTTACTACGTACCTAGTAGCCCCGCTCCTCACTCACTGCATGAGGATCTTCACCCTGCGCACGCGCCGGTAGGTCCCATTACTAGAGTACTGGTAATGCTCGTCGCCGTCGTAGCCCCCTGTGCCGAAAACCACGGTGACGTCGTGGTCGAAGTAGTAGTCGGTCTGAAACTGAAACCACTTAGCTCCGGACTGGTAGGCGGCCTCGGTAGCCTTGGAGTGGTAGCCCCAGAAATCCACCCAAGCGCCATCCACCCAGGAATCCTCACAGCCCCAGCGGCTTTCAGCGAACTGCCAAGTGATGGCAGTAGCCTCGTCGTTGCTGATGCGCTTCGCATTATTAGCCCCCACCAGCAGTTCCAGCGGCAGCAGCCCGCCCAGCACATCGTTTAGCGCCTAGTTGTAGCGCCCAGTATGTTAGCGCCTGGCGTGCGTCGGGCCAGCAGCTTGAGCCACTAGATGCAACCAGCAGCAGCAGCAGCGGGCGTAAGGGGTGCAGCGGCGGCGGCGGAAAGGGGGGGCATCTCGTTGGGGGCTATAATATTTGCGAAGGGGGGGGGGGTCGACGACGCCAGGGGGGGGCTATGTGGGTGGCAAGCCCACGAGCATGCGGCACGTCCATAGGGCCCTCGCCACAGCAGGCATCGCCACATGCCAAACCAACCCATCAGGTCGTCCTGGACCATGGGGCCCCGGCCCATCCATGGAGCTCTCGCCCTCCGCCGCGATCTTCGCAGAGACTCCGACATTCATGGGCTCCTCGCCCACAACCACCCTCCTCCTCAGCCTCCTCCTCCCACTCCTCCGACTCCTCCTCACCTCCTCCTCCCCCTCCCCCTGGTCACCGCCATCGTCATCGCACCCATCGCCATCGCCATCGCCATCACCCTCCCCGCTCATCGCTATCGTCGCCATCATCATCACAATAATCATCCACCTCTCGTCGCTCTCCCCCCTCCTCCTCCCCCTTCCTCCCCCCCTGCTTCTTCCTCATCGCCACTGCCGCATAATGATTAATAATCCTTTGCTGCGTTGGCATCAGCATTATTGCAACCGCTGTTGCCCCCACCATGACAGGCCGCCGTTGCTTTCCGCATCGCCTTCTTTTCGTCATCATCGCCATCATCACCACAGCATCATGATCACCGGATCGTGTTCCTCATTATTTGTTTTTGCTCTGCATCGCGATCCGAACAGTGCTCCTCTTCTTCCTTCTACTCCCCCATCCTCGACCTCCTCCACTTCTTCCCCCACCCCCCCCTCCCTCCCCCCCTTCTCCTCCTCCTCTCCTTCCTCCCCCTCTTCCTCCTCTCCCTCCTCCCTCCCTCCTCCCCCATCCTCCTCCTCCTACTCGTCCTCCTCCTCCCCGTTCTCCTCCGCTTCCTCCCCCATCCCCCTCCCTCTCCTTCCTCCCCCTGCTCCCCCCTGTTCCCTTCCCTTCCTCCCCCTCCTCCTCCTCCTCCTTCCTCCCCCTCCTCTCCCTCCTCCTCCTCCATCTCCTCGTCCACCACCTCCAGTGCAGCGCGCGCCGACAGAGCTGCCCCTGGCGCGAGCCCCCCTGAGCCTGCCCGAGGCTCGGCGGGGTAGCTGCAGGCGGGGGGGCATCCTCCACCATGGCTCACATGCAGAAGACGGAGCTCCGGCGGTTCAGAGGTGAAAATTTCCCCAGGCAGGGGGATGGGATGGGGGCGGGGCGGACGACGACGGAGCCCATCATCCCGCCCCCGCCCCGCCCCCCCTGCCGGGGGTAAGTTTCACTTTTATGAGGTTCTATTGGAACAGCTACAGCGGGGCTAATATGCGCTGCAGCCGTGGCGACCGCTGCGGGTGCCCTTCCCGCGATGGGCCAGGCAGGGCGGACAGGAAGGCTTGAGGTGGGGCGGCGTCTCGGGCCTGCAGGGCTCAGTGGAGGGCGGTCTGGCCGGCCTCCACCCGCTGCTGCTGCTGCCGCTGCTGCTCCCCCCACTGGAGTGAGGAGGAAAAGGGTGGTGGGACGAGAGGGGCCCCCCCCTGACGATGAGACGACTACCATGCTTTTTATACCCGAAGGCTAGGGGCAAGAAACAGTACCGAGTTCAAAGGCAAACAAGACGACGCGTCAATCATCTTCTCGCACTCCCCATCCGCGGGCTTTAGCAACACGGCGCTGGTGAAATGCATGATGCGTGGGCTTATATCCCTCGCGGAACACAAAAACACACAGAAAAAAAAGGGCGGGCCCCAGGGGGGGCATCATCCACAGGCAGGGGGATGCGCTTGTCCAAGGCAAGCGCATATTCCTTTAAATGAGGAGGAGGAGCAGGAGGAGGGGCCAGGAAGAGAGAGGAGCAGGAGCAGGAAGAAAGGATCAAGTCATATTTGATTTCTGACTGAAGTACATGCAGTATTTGCACGCGGCAGCAGCGCGTGCATCATATACATGTTCACCACCCATGCATATACATATTTGTGCACATATACGTATTCACATACATACGTTGGCATTTACATAATATGTTCGTCTGATGTTGTCACGCGCGAGTCCCTGCGACAACTCAGAAGCATATGCATATACGCGCACTGACACATGTGTAAACACACGCGCACATCATGCACATACTACCTCGACATGCACACCACACATCACATACACGTGCAGCGCCAGGAACATCGCCGGAAACGCCCGGGAAAGCCCCGCCCCATGGCCCAAAGACAGCCCAAGACAGGCTGGCCCAGAAAAGACGCGAGAATAGTTGCCATTGCAATGGGGGGGCTAACTAAGAAGTCAGGAGGGCAGCTGAGTTGTTGCCCTGGGGGGCGGGGGGGGGAGGGGGGCGGGCGTTCCCAGGTGCGCCAACTCGATGGACGAGCTCATGGTCGCCCCATGGAACGCGACCCAGTGGCATCCACTACAAGATAGCATGGGCGCTCTGCGCACCCCGCCTCCACGCCGCCTGCCGGGCATGGGGCGTCACGCGCGTTCGCATTGATTTGGCGCGTAGCGCAACGGCGGGAGAGCCGCTACCTCCGGAAGAACCCGCGCGGGCGGGGCGGGCGAAGCGACGGGAACGCAGGCGATGGATGGGCGGGGGGGGAGGGAGAGGAGAGGAGGAGGGAGGAGGAGGGAGGAGGAGGGAGGAGGGGGGCGAGGAGGAGGGGGAAGGGGGGGGGGGTGGATGGGGGGGCGGCGGAGGAGGGCGGGGGGAGGGGCGGAGGGGGAGAGGAGGGGGAGGGGAGGAGGAAGGAGGAGGAGGAGGAAGAACATAGGGGGGGAGGATGATGGGGGGGGGGAGGGGCGGGGGGGGGGGGCGGGAGGAGGTGGCGAGAAGGGGGGGGGGCGGGGATTTGCAGATGGGGGGGGGGGGCTGCGGGGGGGAGGAGGGGGAGGAGGCGACGGATGAGAAGGGGGACGACGACGTGGGGGGGAATTGGAAGGGGGCAGGAGGAGGAGGAGGAGGAAAAGGAGGAGGGGGGGGGCAGGGGGAGAAGGAGGAGGAGGAGGATGGGGGAGGGGGATGAGAAGGATGAGCATGAAGATGATGATGCAGGTGAGGAGGAGGATGATGATGAGGAGGAGGAGATGCAGCAGCAGCAGGAGGAGGAGGACAGGGGCAGCACGAGGAGGAGGGGGAGCATGAGGAGGAGGAGGAGAAGGAGGAGGAGGAAGAGTGGTGAGGATGATGGGCGCCTTCAACCAGTCGCGCCCAGAAGGAGGGCAGGTTGGACTCTTCGGCAACTGGCGCGCTGGTGTCGACTCCGACCAGTGGGTGGAGGACGCGGGGCTACAACGCTGCGCAGCGGGGGAGGGGCACGCGCTGCCACCCTGGGACGAGAGAGACGACGGGGAAACGAACGACAGCAGGGCGCAGGCAGCAAGCAGGGGGGGGGGGGCGGATGGGGCCGCCGAGAGGACAACCGCGAGGCGCTTCGCCGACACAGGCGTGACCCGGCGCCATGGGACATGACCAGGCGAGCTGCGGGGGAGGAGAGGGAGGTGGAAGAAAGAG